CAGCCTCAGGAATCCCAGCTGACCTACCCTACAGCCCTGACCAGAAACCTATCCTTTGTGGCTATTTCTTGGAATAACCAGCACAAGCCTGAATGGCCCAGTGACTTTCTCTTCTGGGCACCTTCACACTCTGTCTCCCTCAGGTCCCAGCCCAGAGTCCAGGGCTCCAGTCTCTTTGGTTCTGTTTCCAAGAGGCCTCATGGCTTCTGTGACATCATGAAGCAAATGCCTTCTGTCTCTGAAGATGCCTTCTCCAAGGTTCCACCACACTGGCTCACTCATCACTCAGAAGGCAGAGGCAGCATCTCCTCCACCCACAGGTACTAAGGTCTGGTTTGGTGGAAATACCAAGTCCTCCACTCCACCAGCTCTGTGTCCTTTAGCAAGTCATTTAACCTTTGTCCATCTCCATTTACTTCATAGTCAAAATGAGGAAAATAGTATCTGTTTTACACTGTCAGTATATGTGAAGCACAAAGCGCAGCTTTCAGAATGATTAGTTTGGGATTGTTGGAATCAGACAGCTTTTCAAAGGCCAAGGAGTCTTTCAAATAGGTGAGAAGAAAACAACTTTTCTCGAAGAACAGAAGGGACAGGAACCTGAGAATAGGGTAGAGTTTAGATGCCGCAGCGCATCTGTTCTTCCATCCTTCCTTTCCTCAACCCCTCCCAAACATGCTTAAGCCAAGGCCACAACTAGAGTGAGGTGAGTGAAGCACTCCTTCAAGCACAACGTTTAATGGGGCACCAAAAAAACCCCCCAGAAATCAAAAAAAGTGATAGATCAATGAAATATTTTTTAAAATAAAGATCAATGTAAAAAGTTCGGGCTTCCCTGGTGGCGCAGTGGTTGAGAGTCCGCCTGCCGATGCAGGGGACATGGGTTCGTGCCCCGGTCCGGGAAGATCCCACATGCCGCGGAGCGGCTGGGCCCGTGAGCCATGGCCGCTGAGCCTGCGCGTCCGGAGCCTGTGCTCCACAACGGGAGAGGCCGCAACAGTGAGAGGCCCGCGTACCACAAAAAATAAATAAATAAAAGTTCATGATAGGGACTTCCCTGTTGGCGCAGTGGTTAAGAATCTGCCTGCCAATGCAGGGGACACGGGTTCAAGCCCTGGTCCGGGAGGATCCCACATGCGGCGAAGCAACTAAGCCTGTGCGCCACAACTACTGAGCCTGCACTCTAGAGCCCACGAGCCACAACTACTGAGCCCACGTGCTGTAACTACTGAAGCCCGCACGCCTAGAGCCCATGCTCCGCAACAAGAGAAGCCCGCGCACCATGACGAAGAGTAGCCCCGCTCTCTGAAACTAGAGAAAGCCCGCGCGCAGCAACGAAGACACAACTCAGCCAAAAATAAATAAATAAATAAAATGTGGGGGCGGGGAGGAAAAGACCCATTGGTGGTCTCAATTAGAAAAAAAGTTGATGATAAACAAAACATCAACATCTTAGAGACAAGATCTGGTTACTATATTAAATCAAGAAGTGACTGAGCACAGCAAGTTTGAATTTCACACCTCGAGAACCTACAGTCCAGAAGACAGTTGCAAATTCAAATCATTTGATTAACTGTGATCACGCTAAAGTATTTTTGTTTTTGTAGCAAGTCATCTGTGGGGAGATAATTTGAGACTACAGAAATATCCTGTTCATCATCAATCTTTAGCAACAGATTTATAATCAATGAGATTTCTGCCTGAATCAATTACTACCATGATGGTTGAAAGATATTTTCTAACTCTATCATTCCTTCTACATTTACTAGTTGGAATTCTGTAAGTTCTTTCTCATCTCATTAATTCATCATTTATTTTAGTATGGACATATGAAATATTTTGACTAATACTGCTACTCTAATTATATTGATGCTTCAATTGTCCTGGTTTTGCCCACAGAAGCCCCCTTCAAGCTGAATCCTGAAGAATATACGTCAAAGAGCTTTGACAAACATATAGATCCATGCAATCATCACCTCAATAAAGATATGGGAGGTTTCCATCATCCCCCAAATTCCCCTTCTATTCCTTTTCTGACTTTCCCTGGACCCCTGGACCAAAGCAACCACTGATCTACTTTCTGTCCCTACAGTTTTGCATGTTCTAGAATTTCACTTTAAATAGATCTATGTGCAGCTTAGCTTTCAGCCAAAAACTCAGGGAGACTCATGCATATTTCTGGAGCTCTTTGTCAGAGTATCTCCCTCCTTCCTCTTCCTTGCTCTTCCACGTTCTGCTCGGCAAATTCCAGTTACTTCAGTTTCCCCAAGTTCTGTTGTCTCACTTTAGTAAATCTGTTGCGCTGTGCTTGCGTTCCTCCTTCCTGCATTGTCTGGAATATGCCTCCAGGGAGAAAGCCATTGCAGCTGTAGGAACTCATTTATTCTTCCCTCTCTTGGGGATTAAAGTCTTGCACTACCAGTTGTCCAATATCTGAAAAAACTTGTTTCCTACATGTTACCTAGTTTAGCACTATCACACCATCACAGTTGTGAGCAGGGAATCCTCTGCGATGTTTTTTGAGCATCTCCCTACTTTTTGGCACAAGAAGATATTCCATACTCATCTTGTACTTTCCCTGCCATCGTCCTGGAATCAGACATTACCCCAAGAAGCTTTGGTTCCTTTTATTAGAGAATTGTATTTAAAGACCAAGATCTGCTTATTGCTACTGAGGCATCATTGCTTCCAGGCCCATTCACCAAATAGAAACGTAGAAAATACATAAGTACATAAATACTTTTTTTAAAGTAATAGTAAGACTAATTAATTTAAATAAACTTTATTTTAGAAGTTTTTGATTTACAGAAAAACTTCAAAGATAGTACAGAAGATTCCCACATACTCTGCAGCCAGTTTCCCCTATCATTAGTCTGTTTTATGTTTAACAATGAGTCAACATTGATACATTATTATTAACTAAAGCCCACACTTTATTTTTTCTTAGTTTTTATCTAATGTCCGTTTTCTGTTCCAGGATCTCATTCAGGATACATTATTTTTAGTGTAGTTGTGTCCCCTTAGGCTTCTTTTAGTTGTGATGGTTTCTAAGACTTTCCTCATTTTCAATGACCTTCACAGTTTTGAGGAGTTTGAGTCAGATATTTTGTCTAATGTCCCTGAACTGGCATTTGTCTGATGTTCTCTCATCAAACTGGGGTTATGCATTTTGGGGAGGAAGACCATAGAGGTAAACTGTCCATATCTTAGCAAAAGTAAATGATATCAGCATGCCCTCACTATGGGTGTTAACACTGATCTGGGTGAGGTATACAGACACACTTTTAATCATGAGTTCACACCAACCCAACATCACAGGGTTCTTCCTTACCTTCCATTATCCTTTTTTATATCTCTCTTTTCCCACAGTAGAACACTGGCTCCCAAAAAATCTATATATTTATTCATTTGCTCAATCCTATGATGCACACAAAACAGTTTGGAAATCACTACACCAAAGCTATTAGGAAAAACAATCTACTAAGTTGAGTTCAGAGATTGCTTGCATTTTCTGGCTTTTTGTCTTTATATATTAGGAATATTAGCTCCTTATCTGAGATTTATAAAGTTGTAAAGATTTTGCCATCTGTCTTTTGCCTTTGTTCGTGGTGTATTTTGCCTTACATAAGTGCTTTAATTTTATGTTTTAAGTGCAGCAGTCTTTTATTAAGTCTGGATTTTTAAGTCGAAATTAGAAAGTCTTTCCACACATCCAGGTTATAGTAGAATTCACCTCTGTACATGTCTGCTATTTGCATGGTTTAGTTTAGAACTCTGATCAATTTGGAGTTTATTTTTTGCATGATGTGAGGTATGTATAAAATTGTATAGTAATTGTATAATAATTACACAATAATACAATAATAATTATATTTTACAAATATTATAATTATAATTATTATAATAGTTGTATAAAATACAATTCTATCTTTTTCCAACTGACTATCCAATTATTCCACAAGGTTATTTATTAAAAAGTTCATTTTTATCCCAATGATTTGCCACCTTTACTACAGAGTAGATTTCCCTCTGTATTTGATATTTCTGGACTTTCTAGTCTCTTCCACCTGACAATTCATGAGCCAATACCACACAGCAGGTATAATTATAGAAGTTTTTAAAATGCTTTAATATCTGATCAGGTTAGCATACACCATAGCTTTCTTTTCTCAGAGTATTCTTAGCTATTTTTGTACGTTTATTTTTTCATTTGAACTTTAGCATCAACTTGTCTATTTCCAATGAAGAAACAGTACTGGTATTCTTACTGGGTTTAAATTACATTTCTAAATTAATTTAGAGAAAAAGACATCCTCCAGATAGGCAGCAACATGGATGTGCACAAATCTCAAAAAAGTGTTTCAAGAAGTGAGACACAAGAGAACATATTCGAAATCAAGAGACAAGGTCTCTGGACTGTGGGCCTGGGTCAAGGACAAATGTACCACCTTGGATAGGGATGCTTTCCTCATTCACAGACCAGGTATAACAGGGCCTGACCGGCGACCAGGACATTGAACTTCCGACCATACTGAAACACGCTGTCCCGGGATGGGTGAAGTTCAGAGCTTCTCATGCTTTCACAAACCAAAGTTGTAGCACTAGAGGTCTTAGCCGAAAAATGTCATCTCATAACAGGAAACTCCTTGACAACACCTTTAAAACATTTTTGCTGATTCTGCATTCTCCTTCATAATCTACAAGTATTTCGACATAATGTTTTAAAATTAGTTACCAAATGAACTCTCGGGTTTTTTCCTCTCTCCAAATCTTTCAATAAAATGGCTGTTCCACGGCAAAGGTGATTTAACAATAGACGAGAAAAATTCTGTCATATACTACTTTTACACAGCCACACGCAAACGTGTACCTGGCGTTTAACGGTCCCAGTCACACACTGAACGACCGGGTGAGAACCGAACACGGCGCGCCCAGTCACAGTCACACACACTCAACTGCAATCAGCGAGACAGTCACACGCAGACAACGGGCCCAACAGACCGACCCTCACCCTGCGACTCAGGGAACCCAACACGCTCTGCCGTAACCCCGACAGCCTCCCACGCACACAAGCACCCCGCCCACCCGAAGCATCGCGAGACGCGGCCTTGCGGTTTGGTTCCAGCCTTTAGGCCTGGAGACTACGTTTCCCAGAAGAGACTGCGGCGCTGGCCCAATCGCGACACATCAGCCGAGGGGCTTTGTGCATCTGCGCTGTCTTCCGGCTCCCGAGTCCGCCGGTACGGAGGGGGAAGCGCACCTGGGGCTGCGCGGGGCGCGACCACGGGGGCAACTGGACCCGAGGAGGCGGCAGGTGAGGGGCTTCGGAGCTTGCCAAGCGCTCCGGAGTCCACGCAGGACTGAGCGCCGCGGCCGGGCGGGTCGCGGGCCTGGGAAGAACCCGAACGTCTCGCTTCATCGTCGGTCTGCGGCTTTCCCGGCTCTGGACTACACTTCCCATAGTCCCCCGCGGCGCGCGCCCTGCTTGCGTTCCCTGTCGGCGTCAGGGCTCATAGCCCGGGTCCATAGACCCCTTAGGTGGGTGTGTCTGTTGGGGGAGTCCCCACCTCCAGAAAATACTTACGGATGTTTTGCATTTATTCTTACGCGTGCTTTTTAAAAGATCTGGGGCGAGGTCTTGTTTCATGAGATTGTCAACGAGTTGCAAGACCCCAGAAGATTTGGAACCACTAGTTTAGAAGGAGCAACTTGGAGACAATTTAGAGGATCTTGTTGAAAATTTGTCCAACCGTGGGGAAGTGGTTGAATAAATCACTAGCCACCGCTGTAATAGACTATTTATAAATAATACAAATAATGCTTAAGAAAAAGTGGTCATAAGGAAAAAGTCTTACTACATGATATTAAGGAACACTTATCATTATTTCATTTACACATTACATTACTTAGAATTAAATATTTGTAACATGCCAGGCACTGTCCTAAGCTCTTTTATAAAATACTGCGGTTTTACTGATGAACTCAGGAAGTGGTTAAATGGCATCATTGTTAACACTTGGTTGTTTTCCATTCCAGTTTTGGGTGTTTTTTTTTTGGGGGGGGGTGGTTAGCCTGTGTGTCAGTAGGTGGGTGGGTTTGACTTCTTTTGCTGAATGTTCTCTTGTTGTACAAAGGGTCCAGTTGTGAATGTATTTGTCAGTTGATGTTGTTCCACATCATTTTTGATAGTTGCTTGGCATCCATCATACGGCTGTGCCAAAAATGATTCAACTACTTGCCTACTTGTGAACTGTTAGGTACTAATCTTTGGTTCTGTTTTTTCAGCAAATGTTGTGCACACAGTTTTGCTCACTGTTGTATCTCTGTGCAGGGACACGTTTATGTGATGATAATGGAGTACGGGGCTTGCTCCATCTAATTTGCCCACTGCAAACATTTGTTGACTCAGGCAGGGTCCACAAAATTGTGTCTGCCAGGCCTTATGTATGGCTGTAAGGTTCTTTGTGAGTTAGGAAGTTAGGGTAAGAGCCAGGGAGACTTCCAAAGGTGTTACATTGTGGGAATGAGACAGTTAAATGCTTTGGTTCTGGGACTGTTTCATTGTGGGCTGGGCTGATGCAGATCAGGCAGGCTTTGCTCCCTGGCCTAAGGATGGCCTTCCTTGTCCTTGGGACACCGTCCTTAGTCACTGGACCAGGTCTGAGCATCCCCACCTCAGGTTTGCATCAGTAACAGGGTGGAGCTGGGTAAAGGCCACCGTTTGTCCCAGCTCCCTCTAATTTGGGGGGATGGGGAGTAAAGGAGGTGGGCATTTGTCACCGTGGCATTCTGGGAGCTGTGAAGCAAGCCTAGCCTCTCATGTTTGCTCTTTCCTCCCTCAGCTCTGCCATCTCAGGACTCTGCCCTTCCCTAAGAGAGAAACCAGGAGGAGGACCCATCAACCCATGAAATTTTGACAGTCATGTCCCTTGTGAGTTTTAAAATCATATAAGTATTTTCCTTCCTTATCCTGAAGCTTCCCACCTGGGTTCCATCCAAGACTCTGGTTCTCAGAGGTTCCCATTTTAGGGAATAAAAAGACCAGGCAGGGCTTCCCTGGTGGCGCAGTGGTTAAGAATCCGCCTGCCAATGCAGGGGAATGGGTTTGAGCCCTGGTCTCCGGAAAGATCCCACATGCCGCGGAGCAGCTAAGCCCGTGCGCCACAACTACTGAGCCTGCACTCTAGAGCCCGCTAGCCACAATTACTGAGCCCATGTGCCACAACTATTGAAGCCCACGTACCTACAGCCTGTGCTCCTCAACCAGAGAAGCCACTGCAATGAGAAGCCCTCGCACCACAATGAAGAGTAGCCCCCACTTGCCACAACTAGAGAAAGCCCGCACGCAGCAACGAAGACCCAACACAGCCAAAAATTTAACAAAAATAAAACTTAAAAAAAAAAGACCAGGCAGCTAGTACCGTCTCCCATAGCCCCATCCACTCTGATCAGTGCCCACACGGATTCATTCTATATAGCATTCCACATCTTCTGTTGGCTTGGTATTTTGCTGGGAGGCCAGAGGGAGAAGAAATCCATTTCCTTACACAAAATGAGAGCATCCCTTATAGGAACTGAGGTTTGATGAAATGGTGATGGCTACTGATGAGGGATCGCACATAAAAACGCAGGGAAGCTGGTATTGGTTGGTCTCAATTTCAGTGTGGGGGGTGACATCTCCTGTATTGACAACTGGGTGTGTAACTGAAGTTTAGCTGGGAATCTAGGAGAGATTAAGATGCCAGAATTAAGGTCCAGTTTGGAGTTGAACAGAGCATTGGAATCTTGGTTATTCTTCATCAGCTTCTTGAGTTTAAAAGCAAGCAAAGTGCAGAACCGAGGACTGAAAGATAGATAGATGGATAGATGTTCAGAATCTGGGTAGTCATAGTTTTGGAACAGCCTTAAGAGATCTGACCTTTGAGACCTCTGCATCCAAAGGAAGAGAATGGTTGAGTCAGTTATTTCACTTGATAGAAAATTGTACAGCTAATAATCTTCACTGAAGATTTTTCTCATAAGGAAAAATGTTTGTGATATGCTTTCACATGATCATGAGCCTACATCTTGAAGCAATTCTTGACTTAAATGAAAGTTCTGTTTTCTAAGATAGAAAATATTTTTTAATAAAATATTTTGGGGAAAGTCTACCAAAAATTGTTGGGTTTTGTTGTTGTTACTCCATAAAAGTACAAATGATAGGTTTCACATTGAGAATTTATCATATATCAAGGACAGAGTAGGCAGTGTGCTTGATTATATTGTCACAACTGAGAAACTCCATTTGGCTGGATTTTAATTTTCATCCCAGAACTGAGTACAAGAGCTTTGGTTTGTAGTAAAAAGGGAAGTTCAAGAATATTTGAACATCTCTTTTACCTGTGCTCATCTTTTCCTGTCACTTGTTCACATCTAAGGCCTCCAGCCCCAGCCTTCTTTTTCACCAGAACACCCCATTCTTGCAGAGACCTCCTCCATCTCCTCTCACCCCAGTGAAAAACGTTTCCTTGAAATACACATATAACATACCTGCCTGTTGTTCCAGGGTTCAGACTTGTTCAGGGATGTGGCCGTAGTCTTCTCCCAAGAAGAATGGGAACAGCTGGCGCCTGCTCAGAGGGATTTGTACAGAGATGTGATGTTGGAGATCTATAGCAACCTGGTCTCACTGGGTAAGGCGATGTGGTCAGTTTGGAGGTTACCCCTGGGCACATCTCTTCCTTCTTACCAATTTTGGGGTGTCTTTTGATTGGTTAAAGGGTAGCTCTATGGCCTGAAGCTACATCTTCCTCAGCCTTCAGGTGACTCACATATTCCCCTGGCCCGTCCTGCAACTGCCTCTCCTGCTCGATAACCAGGCCCTAGGTCTGAATTCTGGGGGCCCGCACCGTAACTGTATGGCATGTTTTCTTCTCACATCCAGGTTTTGCCATTTCCAAACCTGATGTGATCTCCTTCCTGGAACAAGGCAGAGAGCCCTGGATGGTGGAGAAAGTAGCGACAGGAGGCCAGTGCCCAGGTGAGTGAGGCATGTGTGGGGAGAGAGAACCCACTGCAGATAACTATCTAGCTGGCTGGTGAGGAGGTAGTCCTTTTGAGTTAGAAAATTTTCCTTCCAAGTTGCCAAACTCAGAGGTCTGGTCTCAGTCATCATCTTCCTTTGCTTATCATCAGCATTTGACAAAAGTGGTTGTTCCTTCCTTCCTGAAACATTTATGTATATCTGGGTCATCACTACCTCTTGTTCTCACCTACCTCATTAACCATCCTCAACTTCCTTTGTTGGATCTTCTCATTTTCTGTAAAAGCTGGAGCACCCCAGGGCTCAGACTTGGGCCTCTTCTGTTTATTTCCATTCCCCAGGACCTTCTCCATGACCATGCTATACGTACCACTCACACCTGTGCTGTCTAATGTGGAGCCACTGGCCACATGTGGCCATCGAAATTTAAATTCATTACAATTAAATACTTTTGGGGTGGGGGGCATGGCGTGTGGCTTGTGGGATCTTAGTTCCTGGACCAGGGATCAAACCTGAGCCCCTGGCAGTGAAAGTATGGAGTCCTAAGTACTGGACCGCCAGGGAATTCCCTACAATTAAATACACTTTAAAATTCAGTACCTCAGTTGCACTTGCCACATTTCAAATGTTCCATAGCAATTTTGTGGCTTGTGGCTACAGTATTGGACAATGCAGATACAGAATATTTCCATCACTGGAGAAAGTTCTTTTGGACAACACAAATTATTACCTTCACGTTCAGCTTCTCCCTTAAAACTCCAGATACCTATATCCTACAGCCTTCTTATCAACTCCACTTGGATGTTCACCAGACACTTTGAGCTTAAGTCCAAAAGGGAGTCCTTGATCCTTCCTAACAAATATACTCTTCCCCCTTTCTTCTGCACTTCAGTAACAGGGGACTCTATTCTAATTGCTCAAGTCAAAAACTGCTGAAGCACCCTTGACTTTTCTGTCTCACACATGTATTCATTCTGTCAGGAAATCCTGTTCACTCTGCCTTGAAATATATCCAGAATTTAACCACTTCTTACCAACAAACAACACTGCTACCACCCACGTCCCCAGCGCCACTTGGACTACAGCAGTAGCCTCCTCCCCGTGCCTCTGCCTGCACTGTTGTCCACTACAGTGCATTCTCCACACAGCAGCCGGACCGTCTCAAAACTTCAGTGAAGGTGTATCACATTTCTGCTCAAAACCTGCCCACAGGGCTTCCCTGGTGGCACAGTGGTTGAGAGTCCGCCTGCTGATGCAGGGGACACGGGTTCATGCCCCGGTCTGGGAAGATCCCACATGCCGCGGAGCGGCTGGGCCCATGAGCCATGGCCGCTGAGCCTGCATGTCCGGAGCCTGTGCTCCGCAACAGGAGAGGCCACAACAGTGATAAGCCCGCGTACCACAAAAAAAAAAAAAAAAAAAAAAAAAAACCTGCCCACAACTTCCCATCATTCAAGAGGAAACCTAAAACCCATACCATGACCTAGAAGGCTCTGTGTCTGTACTGTAGCCATCAGCCACACATGCTGTTTCAATTTTAACTAAAATGAAACATAGAATTCCATTTCACAGTCGCCCTAGCCACAGTGCCAATGCTGAGTAGCCATGTGTAGCTAGTAGCTGCCGTACTGGAATAGAATAGAACATTTTCAGTATCACAGAAACTTGTGTTGAACTAAGTTGCTCTAGAAAATCTGCCCTGCAGCCTCCACTCTGATTTGATTTCCTACCACCCTCCATGCTGCTGACTCGGTTATAGCCACACAAGCCTCTTTGCTGTTACATTAACATAGAGGTTGGCAAATATCTTGTTTAAAGGTCCAGACAGTTAAGTGTTTCAGGCTTTGCCCGCTCTGTGGTCTCTGTCGCAAGTACTCAGCTCTGCCATGGGAGCACGAAAGCAGACAATACAAGTATATGCATCCTGGCTTTGAAACATCAAGCGTATTCCTGTTTCGAGGCTTCTTCCCTTGCTGTCCCTTCTGCCTGGGGTGCTCCTGTTCTGGATGGGGATTTCTGAACCTCAGTGGTATTGACATTTTGAGTGGGATAATTCTTTGTTGGGGCCAGTGTGGAGGGGGTGTCATTCTATGCATTGCAGGATGTTTAGCAGCTTCTCTGGCCTCCCAAAAATGTCTCCAGACATTGCCAAGTGTCCCCTGGGGGGGCAAAATCTTCCCGAATTAGACCCAAAGTTACAGTGTGACACGAGACCAAAATCATGTCCATAAACAGTTTCTGCAGCATTCAAGAGAATTTCAAATGGGAAGCTAAGAACTAAGCGTTACTGATGTGGTAGATTCATCCACGTTGAAGTGGTAGTTGGCCCGTTGGAGTGAGTGAGATCAGGGGTGGAGTGAACATGGGGAGAGAAGCTGTGTGCTTCCGTGTAACCTAACATATTCGTGGTTCCGAGAATTAGGACATGGGCATCTCTGGGAGGCCATTATTCTGCCTACCACACCTGAAATGTCACAGAACAGATTTTTTTGCTTTTGTCGTTTGAGTTTTGACAGCATGTGTTTGTTTGAGGTGCTCAATTTGTTTACTCCTTAGATATGTGGGTTTGTGTCATATTTAAAGAGAACTTCACCCTCTGAGGTTATGAGTCTCCTGTGATATTTTTCTAGCTTATTTATGATGAAATTTATGATCCATATGGAATTTTTCCCAGTGTAAGATGTGATTTCATGTTATTTTCCAGATTATTATCCACTTATTGAAACAGCATTTATCTCTTCACCACTAATGTATAAAGCCACCTTTGTCGTCTGCTTTATCACCTCTGTATTTGGATCTATTTTTGGACTTTCTGTTCTAGCTCATTAATCTCTCTAACCATGTGTCTATACCATTATGGTTTTAATTTATTAAGAGTTTAAATGTTTTAAATATCTGGTACAATTAGTACCTCTTCATTCTTATTTTTCAGAGTTTTCCTGGCTAGTCTCATTTACTTTTCTATCCAAACCCTAGAATCAGAATATTTGCTTTCAAAAAAAAAATCATGCAATTTTTATTACTGCGATCACTGTAAATTTATAGATTAATTTAGGAGAAAACTGATTTTATTATGCGGAGTCTTCTATTGAAGAACACGACAGGTTTTTCCTTTCATTTATGTCCATCCCTGATTAAGGTTTTAACATTTTCTTCATATAGATCTTATATGTGTCTTATTACATTTATTCCTAGGTAGTTTATATTTATTGCTGTTACGGGCAATATCTATAATATAGACTAATATGGCATTCATCCATTTTATACTCCAACTGGTTATTTTTTTATATATGACAGAAGCCATTCACATCTTCAGATGAATTTTGTAGCTAACCCAACTTAATGAATTTTCTCATTGTTTATGACAGTTTTTTATGTAACTCTCTTGAGTTTTCCAAGTATTCAATTATATCATCTGCAAATGGTGATAATGTTTTTACATTTTTATACCTTGCAGGTTGTTTTCTCTTGCCTGATTAGGATGCTGATTATGTAGTACCCGCAGAACACTGTTAAGTGGGGTTTTACGTACTAATCTTGTTCTTGACCTTAATAGGAATATTTTTAGTGTCTTTCATTAAGCATAATATCAGCCATAGGAATGAGATAGGGGTATTTTCTTAGGTTAAAGAAGATCCACCTTTTCATATTTTATTAAGTGTTTTTTTCTTTCCATCTATAAAATCTGCATTATATGAATAGGCTTCCTAATACTGAACTCCTGATACTGAATACTGAATCTAACATTCAAGTGTTGCATTTCTTGAGCCAGTTGTGGTCATTTATAGTTTTTATGGAAAATGTTTTAAAATTTTTTTAACTTATGGTAAAATATACATAACAAAATTCACCTTATTAAAGTGTATATATAGTTCATTGGCATTTAGTACATTCACCATTATCTAGTTTCAGAATATTTTTATCACCCTGTGATATTGTGATTTATAATAAGAAATATATATTTGTTCTTCATCCCTGTTTTTTGGCACACAAGTCTTAAAACCCTTGGAATCTCCAGAGTCATATGTGTCGTCTTATATGCTAATTAGATGACTGGTGGCTGGGGTCTCCTGGATAGCTTCAGGATGGTGGCTGGTTGAGAGGGAAACCAATTATGTGATTAAAGGGTTGGAACTGTCAGCTCCACCCCCAACCCCAGAAAAGGGGGTGCTGGAGGTTGAGTTAATCACTGATGGCCAATGACTTGATCAATCATGCCTACGTAGTGAGGTTTCCATAAAAGTCCCTGAAGTATGGGGTTCAGAGAGCTTCCAGTTTGCCGAACACATGGAGGTGCTGGGAGGGTGGTGTGCCCAGAGGTGGTATGGAAGCTCCAAAGCCTTTCCCCACATCTTGCCTGATGCATCTCTTCTGTCTGGCTAGTCGTAAGTTACATCCTTTGTAATAAACTGGTAATATAGTAAGTAAACTGTTTTCCTAAATTCTGCAAGCCATTCTAGCAAATGATTAAAACCCATGGAGGGGGTTGTGGGAACTTCCATTTATGGGGGGTGGGGCGCTGGTAGGGGCAGTCTTGTGAGACTGAGCCCTTAATCTGTGAGATCTGCAGCAAGATAGTGTCAGAATTGAATTTGTAGGTTGCCCAATCAGTATCTACCAGAGAGATGGAGGGCTGCTTGGTGTAAGCGAAAAACCCACACACATTTGGTAACCAGAAGTGTCAGAAGTGAAGTGTGGAGAGTAGAATGGTGTTGAGAAGTGTGTTTTTCCTAGATATACCCCAGAAGGAAACACATACCCATTAAGCAGTCATTCCTCATTCCCCCCCCCCCCCCCCCCAGTGCTTGGCAACCACTAATCTGCTTTCTGTCTCTATGGATTTGCTTATTGTGGATATTTCGCATAAATCATACAATATGTGGCATTTTGTGTCTGGTTTCTTTCACTTAGTATGATGTCCTTAAGGGTGACCCATAATGTAGCATGTGACAGGATTTAATTCCATTTTAAGGCTGTATGTATATGCCACAATTTTTTAAACCATTCATCTGTCAATGGACATTTGGGTTGCTTCTACATCTTGGCTATTGTGAATAAAGTTGCAGTGAACATGGGTGTGCAGATATCTCTTTCAGATTCCGCCTTCAATTCTTTTGGATATATACCCAAAAGTAGAATTTCTGGATCATATAATTCTGTTTTTAACTTTTTAAAGAGCCACTATACTATTTTCCATAGTGACGGCACCATTCTCCATTCCCACCAACAGTGCATAAGGGCTCCAATTTCTCCACACCCTATCAACACTTTTTTTTTTTTAATAGTGGCCATCCTAATGGCTGTGAGGCAGTATCTCATTATAGTTTTGATTTGCATTTCTCAAATGATTAGTGATGTTGAGCATCTTTTCGTACGCCTGTTGGCCATCTATATGTCTTCTTTGGAGAAATGTCTATTCAAGTCCTTTGCCCATTTTAAAATCAGGTTATTTGTGTTTTTTGTTGAGTTTTAGGAGTTCTTTATATTGTCTATTAACCTCTTACCAGTAATATGGTTTGCAGATATTTTCTTCCATTCTGTAGGTTGCCTTTACACTGTGTTGATTTTTTTCCTTTGATGCACAGAAGTTTTTAAGTTTGATATAGTCCCATTTGTCTATTTTTGTTTTTGGTGCCTGTGCTTTTGTTACCATATCCAAGAAACCATTGCCAGATACAGTGTCATGAAGCCTTTCCCCTATGTTTTCTTCTAGTTTATAGTTTTAAGTCTTAGGTTTATAATCCATTTTGAGTTATTTTTTTAAATGTTGTATAAAGTAAGGGTCCTGCTTCTTTCTTTTGCATGTGAATATCCAATTTCCTCAGCCCCATTTGTTGAAGAGCCTGTCCTTTCCTCATTGTGTGGTCTTGGCATCCTTGTTGAAGATCATTTGACAATATGTATATGGGTTTACTTCTGCGCTCTCTATTCTGTTCCACTGGTCTTTATGTTTTCCTTTATGCCAGTACCACACTGTTTTGATTACTGTAGCTCTTTAATATGCTTTGAAATCAGGAAGTGAGAGAGGCCTCCAACTTTGTTCTTCCTTTTCAAGATTGTTTTGGCCATTTGGGATCCTTTGAGTTTCCATATGAGGAAACCAAAACATTTTAATGCTAAGTCTATACATAAGATTTTTAGACATTATTTCATTTGTTGTTAAAAACAGTAACTACTAATGCTAAATAATCAGCTTCTAAAAAAACTGCAGCAGATCCTATCAGGAAAATATAAAAATAATACAGAGGACCTCATTATTATGTTGCTATTTTGCAACTTTACATGAAGTAGAACAGAAGCCAGAAATTAGAAAATTAGTACTATCTTTGTATAGTTATAGCACAATATATGATTGGAGATGGCTTAATCCAGATGAGTGCAAAGTGCTCATGGAATAAACACTGTACTCTGACTGCCATAAATCAGCAAAACTCAACTGTGTCTGATGTCTGTGACAGAAAATATGGCATTTTGGAGAGAGGAGTGCTTTTAATGGCATGTCCTTAGAGGCAGCAGTTTTTTTCACATTGCCAAAAAGACCAAGTAATGTGTTATCACTTTAGTTCTTAAAGCCAGATTTCCATTAGGGCATAGTTACATTCCCAAACTAATTTTCTTCTGTCCACCAGGCTGGCTTTAATATTCCATGGTCCACTGCAATCTTTTGGTCCCTTCTTTATAGGATGGTAGCCAGATGTTGCTAACCATTGAGTAGATGGACCACCAGTTCATAGGTAGCCATTATAATGGATGTGTTTGGAATCTGTCTTAGCACAGTTGTTAGAGCACAATAAAGAGACCCGTAAAGAGAGCTTCCCTCTTCAACAACCAAACATGGTGTCTGAAAAAATACCTCTACTTTCTGCTCTTTTCACTCTTTTTGTTCTTACAACTTCACGTGGTGCAAATTTTTGAGGCGACAGCAGCATCATTCCCAGAAAATTGATACTTCTTTCACAGACTTTTCATCATCTTGCATTGTCAAAATAATCTTTTATTCCAGTAGTTTTTGCTTAATAATTTCACAAAAAAACCAATAGTGGTCTCTGATATGCTACCACAGGAAGCAGACGTGCCCCTATAAAGTCCCCTTTGGCCTTCTGTCTGTAACTTATGAATACATTCAAAAGCACCCATTCACTTTTCCCCATAGTTCCTTGCATGAAGCTGAAACCAATTCTTTATTAACCAAATGGGACTGATTTCTGTGACTGCAGTAAAACGGACCACTGTACAGAAATCATGTACCAGGTAGAATCAAGATCAAATACACCATTCAGCCTTTCCTTGCAGTTTGAATAACCAGCAAAGAATATTGCTCTGGAAGAGGCCACCCCTATTAAATTTGGGCCTAATCTTCTAAACAAGGAACAAGGCCCTTCTTTTTCCAAGGACACTTTTAGGCAGTGGAAAAGTCCAGGAGAGACTGGTCCAGCTGACATTAGCTCTAGCCACGGTGTTCAGCTAAACTTCAGAGACAGAAAGCATTACAGCAGAAGGCCACAGCTGTGTTATTACACCTTCCAGTGGACATGTGAAAATAGCCCTCCTATAACACCACATCCCCTGTCAAGCAGATGCACCGTCATGTTCTTCTGGCCAGAGAAGTATCCAGTCACCCCTCTCCATCATTTTTAAAAATCTACTTTATTGAGGTATAATTTATATTAAATTAAATGCATACATCTTAAGTACAATATTTTAATGGCTACTGACAAATGTATACACTTACATGACCACCGCCACAGACAAGATAGAGAACATATTTATCACCCTGAAAAGTTCCCTATGCTCTTTCCCACACAGTTGCTCATACCCCCCCAGCCCCTGGCAACAAATGATTTGCTTTCTGTTACTCATATGTGTCTTTTCTAGGGTTTCATAGAAACATTCATTTTTTAAAGCCATGGTTCAGTGGTGATTCTGATCCACACTAACATTTTAGAACTACTCTTATAATCTCTTTGATTACCTCATTCATCTTTATTTATGGTATTTCCTCTTTCTCTGTTCTACTCCATTTTCTAATTTCTTAGTCACATTCAAGAGCTTACAGATATTATCCTGAGTCTGAACTTTCCAGTTTTTACTATAGAAGTTACTTTTTCTGGAAAAGGAAAAAACAAATACATACTTGTTTTGTTCTTTTTCAGTATTGGAGTCCAGGTATGATACTAAGGTATTATCTCCAAAGCAGCACAGTTATGAAGTACAGTCACCCCGGTGGCAGATAATGGAAAGCCTTACAAGTTATGGTTTTGAGTGCTCAAGTTTCCAAGATGATTGGGAATGCAGAAGTCAGTTTGACAGGCAAGAGGGAAATCCAGATGGACATTTGAGTCAAATGATAATCGATAATGAAGAAATGTCCACTTTTGACCAGCAAGCATCCCTTACTTTTTATCAGAAAATTCATATTGGAGAAAAACCCTATGGATATAATGAATGTAGAAAAGACTTCTGGCAAGAGGACTTCCTTATTAATCATCAAGGGATTCATACTAATGAGAAACCCTACAAATGTAAGGAATGTGGGAAAGCCTTTAAATATGGCTCACGACTAATTCAACACGAGAATATTCATTCTGGCAAGAAACCGTATGAATGTAAGGAATGTGGAAAGGCCTTCAATTCTGGTTCAAATTTCATACAACATCAGCGAGTTCATACTGGTGAGAAACCTTATGAATGTAAGGATTGTGCAAAGGCCTTTAGTCGAAGCTCACAGTTGATTGAACATCAACGAATTCATACTGGTGAGAAACCCTATCAGTGTAAGGAATGTGGCAAGGCCTTCAATCGGATCTCACATCTTAAAGTACATTATAGAATTCATACTGGTGAAAAACCCTATGCATGCAAGGAATGTGGGAAGACCTTTAGTCATCGTTCTCAGTTGATTCAACACCACACTATTCACACTGGCAAGAAACTCTATGAATGTAAAGAATGTGGGAAGGCCTTTAATCAAGGCTCAACTCTTATTCGACATCAGAGAATTCATACTGGTGAAAAACCCTATGAATGTAAGGCATGTGGGAAGGCCTTTAGGGTGAACTCACAACTTAAGCAACATCAGAGAATTCACACAGGAGAGAAACCCTACCAATGTAAGGTATGTGGTAGGGCTTTCAAACGGGTCTCACATCTTACTGTACATTATAGAATTCATACGGGTGAGAAACCATATGAATGTAAGGAATGTGGGAAAGCCTTCAGCCATTGCTCACAACTGATTCAACATCAGGTAATTCATACTGAGGAAAAGCCCTATGAATATAAGGAATGTGGGAGGACTTTAAATCATGACTCAACTACCATTCAACATCAGAGAATGCATAATAGAGAAACACAAGTGAATTTAATAAATGTAGAAAAACCTTCCATCAGCACTTATCCCTTATTAATCATCAGAGAATTTATGTTAGCAAGCAACCATATGAATGGAAATAATGGGAAGAGTCCACTAGCTTAGGCTAATCACAACTTACTCTTTTTATCTTGGAGAAAGACATGAAGAATGTAATGCAAGTGAGAATTCCTTTATTCAGAGTTGTCCTTTATCCTGAGTAATAAAATTCATATTGAAGAAAAATTATACGGATGCAAATTTTTTAGACCATGATTGTCAAAGACGAAAAGGTTGGAAAAAATTTTGTCTCTAACACACACCAGAATCACACTTTCTCACCACAGTGTAATAATTTTAACAATAGCCAAGTGTGAATTTTATTGGAAATTAAAAAGAAAAAAAAAAAAAAAACAGCCGAATTACTCTTGGGTTAACAAGAAACTAAGGAATGCAGTTACCATCAGTGGTAATGAACAGAATGACAATGAGAGTTTTTACATGTCAAGAAATGTGTGATGTGGCTGAAGTTACTCAGAGGAAATTTTATGGCCTTTAAGTATATGCAAAACATGAAAACCTGAAAGATAGTACTCAAATATACTAAATGTACTATTTAAGAAGCCAGAAAAGAGAATACCAAACACCCTGATGATGAATAAATGAACAGAAAACAAAAACAGAAAATGATGAAATAGAAAGTGGTTATCCTACAATAATCTCATTTTTTATTTCTTTCTGATCCAAGAGTAAACTAAATTTACGAGACTGTTTCTTAGTTTCCAGGTTGTTGTAGATTATCTTTTATAATATCACAGACAGAAGGGGTTGGTTGCCTACCTAGCAGCCATACCCAATTCCCATTCCTATTGGCAACATCTGTGTCTTGTCTTAGAAGCTGCAGATGTCACATGCTAATTTTCAGCCCACTTTGCAGCTCAAGATGGCCCAGATGTTCCAGTGTATGGCCAGTATGTTCTAGGGATCTACAGGGCCTTCTGGGAACGATCTTCCTCATTCAGAAGAGACAGATACATTAGGAAGACTCCCTCCTCTTTCATTTCTTGCTTTTAAACATTTTCCTCTGAGAACTTGATGCCTGGAGCTGCTGCAGCCATCTTGGAACCAAGAGCAGAAAAGAAAGGACCTCAAAGAAGCTGACCCAGCACCCTAACACTGAGCTATGAGGCCAATTTGGAACTGTCTCTTAGATGCCTTGTTATCTAAGAAAAATAAACCTTTATTGCTGAAGTTACTTTTAGTTGGACATTTTGTAAACTTGAGCTGAAAACATCCTAAGTGATGTAACTTCAAATTTTATTTTATTATGATTGGTAAATGTGGCCTGAAAGTATCTACTTTTTTGTATTTAGCATTTTTCTTTGTGGCTAAGTACAGGATTGATTTTTGTATATGTTCCATAACATTGAAAAATAATGTATATTCTTTTTTGGATACTAGATTCTATTTAAGCAGTAGATTATAATGATAAAATTCTCCACATTCTTATATAATTTGGTATACTGGATCAGAATTTCCTAAAATTGAATTTTTTAACCACAATCTTGAATATCCAGAGATTTTTTACTTTATGTTGTTTGACCTATAAAGACATATAACTTAACCCCTATTTAAGAATCATACTTTTATCACTAAACAATATCCTACTCTGCTAAGTGTAGGGGTCAACAAACCAAATCTGGCCTGCTGCCTGTTTTATAAATAAAGTTTTATTGGAACACAGTCATGTTCATTTATTTACATATTGTCTACAACAGCAGAGCTGAGTGGTTGCAACAAGGACTATGGCCACAATGCCTATTTATTTCCTATCTGGCCCTCTAGATAAGAAGTTTGCCAACCTTGGCCTAGTATAATCCTTTTGGTATTTTATTTCCATACTGTGTAACACTAATAATAATGATTTATCCTTGTTTACTTGGTATGTTTTTGCCCATCCATTTATTTTCAACCTCTGTCGTTTTAGTTATTTCTTATAAAAAAATATAGCTAATTTTTTAATAACTCAAAATACAAATTTCTTTTTCTGTAGGGAAATTCACTTTTTTTTTTTTTCCGGTACGTGGGCCTCTCACTGTTGTGGCCTCTCCCGTTTCGGAGCACAGGCTCTGGACGCGCAGGCTCAGCGGCCATGGCTCACGGGCCCAGCCACTCCGCGGCATGCAGGATCTTCCCAGACCAGGGCGCGAACCTGTGTCCCCTGCATCGGCAGGCAGACTCTCAACCACTGCGCCACCAGGGAAGCCCCACATTTTTATTTAGTGTAATAACTCCACCTTATTCCTTTCATTTTACTTTGTACTATTTATGTTTTCTTGGTCTTTTCCTTTCCTTATGTTCCTTTTCTCTTGCTAAATTGGAACTTCCCACTGTGCTTAGGGTAGTGGTTATCTCCCCATTCTTAATCATTATTGGGCAGAATGAGAGCACTATTATACTTTCTAACCCATCATTAGTTTTCTTTGTTACTGTCCTCTGAGAAGAGACCATCCTTGCTTTCTCTTTCCCTTCCTTCACAGCCTGTTCTTTAACATTTCCTCCGTTTTGCTAACCTAATGAAAACTCATAGTTTTACTAGTTTTACTCTTATTTACAGTAAGTCCCCTACATACGAACGAGCTCTGTTCCAAGAGCATGTTCGTAAGTCCAATTTGTTCATAAGTCCAACAAAGTTAGCCTAGGTACCCAACTAACACAATCGGCTATATAGTACCTACTGTAATAGGTTTATAATACTTTGCACACAAATAATACAAAAAAAACAAACACAAAAATAAAACAGTTTTAATCTTCCAGTTCAGTACCTTGAAAAGTATTGTAGTACAACAGCTGGCCCTTCTTACCAGTTTCATCACCGCTGCTTTTACGCTTCCAGACATCCTGGGCTTAAAATAAAGATACTGTACTACTGTACTCTACACAGTACTGCATAGTAAAGTACACAAAAGCACAACTACTTGGAGAGGATGCATACACATGACAATGTACGCCAGACACATGAACTAACGTGATTGGATATGCAAATGCATGTTTGCATCTTTGAAAGTTTGCAACTTGAAGGTTCGTATGTAGGGGACTCACTGTATTCGATGCTTATATTACTTACTGCCAGACCCATTCATGATTTCCATTTAAACTTAAATATAGTATTCAGAGTAACATTCATTGCTGGCCACTGTTTTTTTAACTGTTTTCCCCTGTCTTGAGTTTACAGATTTATTTCAAATGCAATTTGGTTAGACTATTTTATTGAGTATTTATGTTTATCTCAATAAATGTTACATAGTTGGTATTCTCTGAATCCTTATATGTCCAAAAGAGTTTCTTGGACCTTCACAAGTTATATTTTTGGTTAGTGGAATGTTCTTGGATTACAGTTTTTTTCTCAGTAATCCAGAGATGTCACTTCACTGAATTCTGGCTTCTGATCTTCTAGAAGAGGAACCCAATGCTAGTCTGTTTATTTTAGCTTATGGGGATGTATTCATTTCCTGTTGCTGCTGTAACAAATTATCAAAACCTCGCATCTTAAAAAAACACATTTATTGTCTGGAGATCAGAGTCTGAAACAGGTCTCAGTGAGCCAAAATCAAGGTCTTGACAGGGCTGTGTTCTCTTCTAGAGGCTCTATGGGAGAATCTATTTCCTAGCCTTTTCAGCTTCTGGAGGCTACCCACCACCTTCCTTGGTGTGGCCCATTTCCACCTTCAAAGCCAGCAGTAGCCAGCTGAGTCTTTCACACATTGAGTCATTCTGACACTGACTCTTCTGCCTCCTCCTTTCTTTTCACCTTTAAGGACCCTTGTGATTATATTGGGCTCATCTGGACAACCCAGGATAATCTTGTCCTAAGGTCAGCTGATTAACCTTAATTTTATTTGCAACTTAATTCCCTCTTGCCATGTAAAAACATACCCACAGGTTCCTGGGATTAGGACATAGACATCTTTGGAGGGCCATAATTCTGCCTACCATAGTAACTGCTTCCATCCCAGCATTTGGCAAGAGTTTCTTTCTATCCTTAGAATTCGGGAACTTAGCAGGATATGTTTAAATATCTCATGTCTTTTTTTTAGCCCAAGATAATTTCCTTCTAAATATTATTACTTCTCAATTGTTCTATTTTATTTCTGCTTAAAAATGTTTAATATTTTGAATAAGCAGTATATCCTCATGATTCAAAAACTTGAAGATGTAAAAGGGATGCAGTAACAACTAAAGTGTGAGATTCAACCTCTTTATGCTAACATCACTTTTAATATCAGTAATTGTAATTCCTCAAAACAACCTTGTAGTCAGATTTTCTTTGTAGGAGAAAAAATAAGACAAATGTAGAAAAGTGACTTGCTGAAAACCACAAACTACAAGTGACTTGTAGAATGTGAGTGGTTGAGTTGGTATTTACAGTCAGATCTCTGTGACTCTAAAATTTCCTTCCATGAAATACAAGGCCTACAGGGAAATGTTCCTCTATTTATTCCAGCCCCATATGGGTGGAATCAAGGTGGTAAACTCTTTAGAGAAAGCAATATCAGAGATAGCAGACATTTGCTTCATGACATCACAGAAGCCATGAGGCCAGATAAAAAAAACTATATTAAGGGATAGAAACTCTGAGTTCTGGGTCTGACTCAGGGAGAAACTGCTGCCTTGGGCAAGCTTCGAGACCTTCTGAGGGAAAGCGTCCTTCCTCAGAGAGTGGGCAGACCAGGCCATGCATATTGTAGATGAGCGCTTCAGGATGGGTAACGCTAATTCTGCAGTCCAAGGCTTCCTGAATTTCTGCAGGTACATTCCAATCAGCAAAAGGAAATGACTAACTGTGGTGTTTGGGGCAGAGCCAAGACAGGCCGTACCATACTATTGATAAGAAATTGTTTTGAACAAACCCATCTTCATGGTTTAACATTTTAGGCTGATTTTGAATTTTTCTCTATAATAATTTTGAGTTTACTTAATGTAAAAGTCATGTTTTTATCATGTTTTATGTTGTTTGCGCTTTGCTGCAGAACTTCAGGGTAATAAGAAATTTGGAGTTATTACCCTATTTGTAAAGGGGGAAAGCAAACCTGGAAGCAGTTATCACAATCCCACAGGCAACCTAACAGAAACCCACATTCATGTTATCTTAAACCTACACAGTTTCTGAACAACTCCGGTCACACTGATAGACTGAAGGAAGGTTGAGAGTCACACCAACTTTTCACACATAACCAAGGCCACACATTCTAAGACCTGCGGTCACACACAAAGACACGTCACATACAAAGCCCTCCTCGCACGGTCACGCTCCACGTCGCAGAATCCCATCCGCCACCCACGCAGAGGCAGGTGTATCCACTCACCTGCCTCTCCCCACCCTCAGTCACTGGCACCGTCTTGGGCCAAACCTCTCACGTCACAGACCCACAGCCTCCCCTTTGTCACAAACAGGCTGCCCCACAGCTCATACCCGGAGAAGTACGCAGGACAGGTCATGGCCCACAGGCACAACTCACGGAGAAAGATTCGGTTCTGGGCGGTCATACGAGGCCAAGGTTGAGGAGATGGAAGACCGGGCTCCAGCTTGACCAGAGCGACGCACCGAACTACGCTCCCAAAAGCCAACTGCGGCCGGGGCCCAATCACGGTCCGGGTTTGTCTTCCCAGCATTCTTCGGGCGACCGGCCCTCCCGCTCTGGACTACATTTCCCAGAAGGCACTGCGTTGGGGCCGCTCTCGGATGCCTCCTTGTTGTCCAACTGAGGGGCCCAAGCTCCCTGGAGTTTATAAGCGGGTTCGTCCGCGGAGCCTTCGCGCGTTTTAATTCCGGGCGATTGTTTCCACGTTAGAGCGGGTCGACGTTCGGCTCCGCCCGGAGCCGGGTCCGAGCTCTTTATGGGTGGCGGGGAAGGTATTTTGGGGGTTCGGGGGTGGTGATGGGATGACCAAGTTCTGGCTATCCTGCCTCTGGACTACGTTTCTCAGAGACCATGGTGGCAGGGAATGTGTCCAGCCACAAATGGATCCCAGCGTCTTTTCCTTAAAGATACTTAATCTGGGATTCGTAGACCCCACAAACCACTTAAGGTTTTGTGCAGTTTTGCTTTTTTTTTTTTTTTTTTTTTTTTTGCGTTTTCTCTTAGGAATAGGACTATAGTTGTATGGATTCCCAAAGTTATCTGAGCCTTCCTCAGTATATTGTCAAAAAATACCAGAGCCGGACAGAATCGAAAGCTTCTCAAGGCAAACTTTATTCAGGAATTACTGCCATAGGGCGAGACACCTTTGTCCATAACTGGGCTCCATTCCAAATACAAGAACAAGTGGGGATTTATAGTGAAGGGGGGCGGTGTCACTGGATATACGGTTACTAAAAAAGAACCATCAAGGGTAAGAGGGAGTATCTGGCTAAAAGGACTTAATAGGATTCTTGCTGAGGGCTGGCGAGAGTGATGAGATGTTAAGGATGGGGACGGGTGGTGGTGTTCTTGATAAACTGACCTAGGGGAATTCTTCCTAAAACTGGACTAAATGGGTGAAGGACAGAGCCCAAGACTGGGGCCTAGAGGAGCCTGACTAGAGTTAGTTCAGGGAGAGAGACAGAGAGAGTGTGTGTGTGTTTAGAGAAAGAAAGATAGAGACTGACTGACTGATATCCATTGATAAATATATCTGATACATGTCGATATAGATATCACTCTATATATACAGATGGTCCCCAACTTACGATAGTTCAGTTTAGGATTCTTTCACTTAGCAATGGCGTGAAAGCGATAATGCATTCAGTAGAAACTCTACTTTGAATTTTTAATTTTGACCCTTTCCTGGGCTAGTGCTATGCTCTATGATGCTCTCATGATGCTGGGCAGCAGCAAGTTGCAGCTCCCAGGCAGCCAGGAGGTTATAAGGGTAAACCATGGATACACTTACAACCAGTCTATTTTTCACTTTCAGTACAGTGGTCAATAAGTTACCTGAGATGTTCAACACTTTATTATAAAATAGGCTTTGTGTTAGACGATTTTGCCCAACTGTAGGCTCATATAAGTGGTCTGAGCACGTTTAATGTAGGCGAGGCTAAGCTATGATGTTCAGTAGGTGTATTAATTGCATTTTCGATTTAGAATATTTTCAACTTACCATGGGGTTATCAGGCCATAACCCCATAGTAAATTGAGGAAGATCTGTAGCTATAAATGTGTGTATATATACATACAGATTTATATATACATATATATATATATATTTGCTAATCACTATATAGCAAGCACTATAATATAGTAAGCACATAAGTCAATCCTCACAGCAACACTTTGAGGTACATAATGTCACCTATCCCATTTAAAGATTAGAGAACTGAGGCATGGAGAAGTTAAGGATACTGGTGCAGCTGCCCTTCCAACCCCAGCAGTCTCACCATGTTTAGACTCAATATATGTATACCACCTCTCAGAAATTTGGAACCACTAGTCTAGAAGCAGATTCTGGGAAAGACCTTAAGGTCTTATCTAAAAGGAGTGCCCTACAATCAAGAATGACTGGGCAAGTAATAGACTTACATGTGAATCTCATGTCCATTCATGTGGTGGATTACTCTACTGTTAATAAAAATTATGTTTGAAGAATTTTTCAGAACAAGGGAAAATGTCTGTGGTAATGTTAAACATTCACAATGATGTACGTGTTCTCAAAAAATAATTGTATTTAAATTGCACTGTCAGAAAGAAATTTGCCGATTACATTCAAATACTTTTTTAAATGAGTAAATCCATGGGTGTTAGGTAAGTTATTTAACTAGTATTGGACTCAATACATTAAAGCTATCTGAGAAAATTTTTTTATAGTGCCCTCTTTCCCTTTCCGAGACAAATTTGCCCCTCCCCTTAGGGTCATGTGGTCACTTAGCTCTCAAAGTCTAAAAATGTTGGTTTTTCTTATCAGGATAACCACAAAGATGTGGCCATCAACTCCACTTAAGCAGAGTGTGTGTGGGTGGCTAATTCCCTCCCTCTCCTCCCACACATAGCCACCCAGAGGGATGTGTACAAACTGGAGAACGACAGGAGTCTCAGCTGTTGGTTAAGACCGTCCTCTCATAATTCACTATCACCTGAGCATCATGATTCCTCCATCTTGACCCTCCAGGGAAGTGCTAAAGTGTTTGACTGCATTTTGGAAGCAACAGTTTGAGATTTGTAAAGCTAGAAATAGGTCTGAGTTACTTCTGAAACTTCACCTTCCTGATTTTTCAAGGCATTCTCTTTACTTTGCTGTATCCATGTCCCCTCAAGGGATTGGGCATTTGGATAGCAATAGCATGACCAGGTCCCACTCATTTTCCTACATGGAAAGTTTAGCAATTCTAAGCCAAGTGTGATCGATTGTTGGAACAAGGGAATAGCTGTTGGTGGTGAAGAGACAGCAGCCTAGTAGCTGAGTGAGGAAGGGGTAAGCCATTGTAGGGAAAAACAAACAAACAAACCTCACCTGTTGGGCTTTCAAAGGTTTTCCTTCTAAACTCTTTTCTCAAAGGTTTACAGAGAAAATGAGGCTCCTTTCACATGCGATCTTAAACTGACTTTACTTTTGTCTTAGGGCACAAGCTAAGCTGCAAACTTAGCTTGACTCCAAAATATGGTGGCTCAACATAAGAATTTATTTCCTAGACACTGAGTGCCAGCACCTTGAGCTCATTCTTCCCAGCTTCCAGAACTGTGAGAAAAAATTTTCTGTTGTTTATAACTTACCCAGTCTGTGGTATTTTGTTACAGCAGCCCAAATGGACTAAGACACCTGACATAGGTTTGGGCAAAAAAGACACACACACACACACACGATCACCTGAACTAAAATTAGGATTGGTACTCAGGGCAAACCAGCTTCAGTATTCTTTGTGCTGGTAGCTCAAATTTCCTTAGATTTTTGCCTGGTAATTCTGGGCTATTTTTTTCAGATCTTTGATAAAGATTTTTTGGTGTAAGTTTTATTTTTTAAATGTGGTTTTATTGGAAGGGTTGCTCTGGCTTATCTTCTCCTGAAATCCTGTTTTTTTTTTTTTCCTAATTTCTTAAGATCAGTATTAAGACTGTGTATGTGTGTGTCTTTTTTAAATTAGGAAGGTATTTAAAGATATAAAATATGGGAAATGGGTGCTTAAAAACTGTTAGAAGGGTAACAGGAGCTGGCTCTCCAGAAATGCCTTCCAGAATGTGGCAACACTGAATCTTTGGAAGATGTGCTACCTCAGCCACAGCCAAGATGTAGAGACACAGGAGCTGCCACTAGGACCACCACCTGCAAGTGCACACTGCCTTAGCTATGATCTGGGATCAGAAAGTAAGGTGATGAAGCCACCACCACTGCTGCTACATGTACTTTGAAACTGGAGTGAAGAGGCCAGCAACAACATTTTGATAGCCAAAGCAGCAGAAAATGTTGCTTCTATCATCTGAATTTCACACAAGTGTGCCTAAAGGGTGGAAACTTAGTTCCCTTCAGAGTCCTCAGTGCCAGGAGCTGGAAAATTACTTTCCCAGCCTAAGTAGAGGAAGGCCAACTAGGAGGTGGGAATGGATACTGAATGCCAGTTGACAAAATTAACTACAGTCACTGTACTTTCAATTGCTAGAATTTCTATTTAGTTCTTTGTCAGTGTCCTTTGCTTGGTTTGTTTTCCTTTCAGCAGTTAAGATTTTTGTTTCTTCCTTGATCTCTTGATGCATTTTAAACCATACTTATGTTCTCTCTCAATATATGCTGCTGTCTTGTTCTTGCTCCTGGTTTGGGCTTGTGCACTTCTCCTTGGCCAAGGGCACCCAACCTCATCCTGCGTGCTGCCCTGATGAGGTTGTGTCTGGTCCTTGCAGCCAGGGGGGCAGCTCTTCCAGGTCAGAGCCCACCTAGTATCCCATCAATGTTTCAAGCATGCATTGCTGATTGGCTGGATCCTTCCAGCTAAAGCAGGAACTCTGGGGATTTTGGAGAACAGGAACTGCATAGTCACATTTGGGAGCTGTATGGAACACTTACTTTTTTCATAAGCATTATTTTCAGTTTAAAACTATTTCTACTAAAGAAGCTCTAACTGACACCAGGGACTAAAGCATCTCTGCTTTTTCATTATTTTTCAGATCAGGTATCCCAATGGGAGAAAATGGAAAAATTTATAAACAAAGATCCTGAGAACCCCAGTTTCCAAGATGACTGGGAATGTGAAGGCACATTTGAAACATATCACAGAAATGAGGATGGAAGTTCCAGTCAAGTCATAATCACTCATGAAGAAATACCTGCTTTGACACAGCAAACATCCCATAACCTGCTTCATAACATTCCACCTGGAAGTAGACCCTATGTGTGTAATGAATGTAGAAAAGGCTTTTGGCAGAAGAAATGTCTTCTTAGTCATCAGAAGATTCATACTGGTGAGAAATCTTATGAATGTCAGCAATGTGGGAAGGCTTTCCATCGCCGTTCCTATCTTCCTCAACATCAGAGAACTCATAGTGGGGAAAGACCCTATGAATGTACAGAATGTGGAAAGGCCTTTGGTTCTGTCTCACTCTTTACCAGACATCAGAGAATTCATACTGGTGAGAAACCCTATGAATGTAAGGATTGTGGAAAAACCTTTGTTCGGCTCTCACAACTTAACGTACATCACAGAACTCATACTGGTGAAAAACCCTATCAATGTACTGAATGTGGAAAAGCTTTCAGTTACTTATCACTGATTATTAAACATCAGAGAATTCATACTGGAGAAAAGCCCTATGTCTGTAAGGAATGTGGAAAGGCCTTTAGAGGTATCACCCAACTTAATGAACATCAAAGAACCCATACTGGTGAGAAGCCATATAAATGTAATGAATGTGGAAAGGCCTTTGGCCATCGTTCATATCTTCCTCAACATCAGAGGATCCATACTGGTAAGAAACCTTACAAATGTAAGGTTTGTGGGAAAGCCTTTAGGCAGGGCTCACAGCTTAACCACCACCAAAGAATTCATACTGGTGAGAAACCCTATAAATGTAATGAATGTGGGAAGGCATTTAGGCAGGGCTCACAGCTTAAACAACACCAGATAATTCACACCGGTGAGAAGCCTTATGAATGCAAGGAATGTGGGAAAGCCTTTAGTCAGTGCTCACAACTTACTCGACATAAGAAAATTCATTCCTAATGTATGTAAGAAATGTGGGAAGGCCTTCGGGCACTCTCCTCTTCCTCAACTTTAAGGAATTCATGCTATGGAAAATCCCCATAAATAAGTGAAGCAAAGACTTCACTGGTCTCATCCCTCAAGGAACATCAGGTAATTATGTACAACCTTGTGAAATGTGGAAACGCTTTTTGGTTCAACTCATGTTACATTCATCAGCAGATTCATCACCATCACATTCAACATTAAAGATCATATTAATATGATAATGTAGCAAAGCTTCCCAACACTATCTATCAATCATTAGTAATTGGAAAATTCATGCTGGCTAGCAACCATTAAAGTAGAGAAATTTTGGAAACCCTTTAGTTTAAGCTAATTCTAACTTACATAAAGAAAGCAAAAGAGAAAGTAATCCTGTGAATGTCAGGTATGTGGGAAGTTCTTTAGCCATAAGTCTCTTATGGCTAAAGAAAATTCATATTTGAAGAATATAAGTTAAAAAAAATCCCCATTCATCATTTACTGTGCATCAGAAAATACACAGTGAATAAAACACCACACATTTAAAAACAACAGTTAAACATTTAACTATCAAGTTGAGGAAGGTGTGGAGAAGTTTGTAACCAATCATATAGGGCTATAGCTCAGGTAAAAATGTAATAAGTTAGACATTAACAAAATATTTATGTTACATACTACCTAATATTTTCTCCTTCAGTGAAACAATGAGAGCAAGATGAAGTGAATGAGCAGTATAAAACAAAACCCGTGGGATGTGACCATATCTATACTCAAAGTTACTACTTTAAATGCATTTATAGATAAGAAAACTACAAACAATGTAAATAATAAGCAAACCAGAGACCTCGAGAAGGTAGAAAATGAACATAACTCACCAAAAGACAGAATTAAGAAAAAAAATTAATTGAAATTTAAACAGAGAAGTAGGTTTTATTAACCTTGAAGTCTTTTCTTTAAAAAGAAAATATAAGCACTTATAAATTTCGTAAAAGTATGCTACAGTATTGTTAAAAACGAGAATGTAAACAAGCAAACAAAAAAAAAGAGGATGTAATAACACACATAAAGAGTATTCAAAAATAAGGTTGAATGCTTTACATTTTTGATACCAATAAATTTCAAATTTATATATACTTCACTTCCTATAAAGAAAAACCTAAGTTTTCCAGAGTTGACTGAATATTAGAAAAGGACAGATTTTATAGGGAATTCACTTAAGTGGTTTTTTTTTAAACTGTAGTATCATCAGTTGTTAAGAGCAAAGATTTACCAAACTATAAGTGTATAGAAAATATCTATGATACAAATTTCCAAGTTTGAAAACATGCAGATTTCATCAGTTCCTTTTCTGAATCTTGCATAATTTCAATAATATAAACAGAAACCAAGATTTGCAGATGTCCTCAACCTCCCAATTACAAAAAAAATGTTGAGTACCTATGAGAGCCAGGTACTTTTCTACATGTTAACTGTGAATTTAAATTTAAAAAGTCATAAGAACTAGCATATTAATACATCTTAGTTTTTTCTCTTTAAAATGGAAATATTTTTAAACCAGTAATATATTCATTAGTATTTTTTAAACTAGAAGATTACTTTTCAGGAATTTAGAAGAATGTATTTATTTCCAAGTTTGATTATCCTTCCACAGTTTACACAGATTAACTAAAAGGAAAAGATTTAAAAATTACTTGATCCTTGCATTGAAGAATGGTATGATGACCTAGGTAGAATCAGAATGTGATACTTAATTATTAACCACAAAAATAAGAACAACTTAGAATCACCTGGACATATGCATTTTCTTTAGAAAATGTGGAATGTCTTCTTTTATTCAGCCTTCTTTAAAATGGAAATTTTAAAAAATGAGTAGAAAGCTACATTTCTCAATTTTTACATAACTTATACAAATGTTTGTAAAGGCTGTCCTTGGAAGAGAATTGAAGAAAACTTTAGCTAAGCAAGTTTAACCTATGTCTCAAGAAGACCAGTTCTAACTATGTCTTCCTCTATATCCAAATGAAAACATTACTTTTGAGGTTTCCTTCAGTCAAGTATAAAAAGGAAGATTTCATAATATCAGTGTTTTCCTTTATTTTTAAAGTTTGTATTTAAGCATCTCTGAAATCTTTAAGCATGAATCTTGAAAGAACTGCTTGCAGTCCTAAAATGTATTATTTTGTTTTTGTTTTGTAGGAAATAATGTTAATAGTCCTTGAAATATATGCTTCTTAAATTCCTCTGTTACATCGTGAACGACATCAATATAATTTTTCTTCTTTTTGCTTTAGTCTTCCAACCATATACATTCTGTGAAAATTTCTAAACAGAGAGAAAGCAATATTCTCTATTTCCAACTTTTGTTAGGTTTTAGGATAACTGACAAGATCAGAATGAAGTCATTACAGCAATCAGTTATTACTGTTTCAGTTATTCTTGATTTGTGACAACTGTTCTTCACTATACCAACAGAATGTTTAAGTGGCTATAATAAAATCAGTCAATTGCATATACAATCTTGTATAATTATGTGAAATACTTCTAATACACTGACATTATTCCTTCCAAGTATATTTTTATATTAACATATACCTTGACATGCCTACCAACAATATCCTTTCCAACATTTATTCCGTATCATAATGTTGGTATGTGGACATTCCTTTTATTTTATGTATGCTGATATGCGTGGTGGTATCTCACTGTGGTTTTAATCTGCATTTCCCTAATGACTAACATTGAACCTGTTTTCATGTACTTATTTGCCATCAGTTAATCTTTAATGAAATATCTGTTCAAATCTGTGGCCCATTTAAAGTTGATTTGTTTGCTTTCTTTTGAGCTTTGAGTGCTCTTTATATATTCCAGATCAAATCCCTTTTCATATTTGTGAAATGCAAATTTTTTCTAGGCTGTTATCTTCTCATCTTAGGAGTATGTTCTGAGGAGTAGAAATTCTTAATTTTTGATGAGGTCATTATTTATCTTTTATGAATTGTGTTTTTGGTGTCATATCAAAAGAAACCTTTGCCTAACCTAAAGCTACAAATATTTTCTCCTAAAAGTTTTGTAGTTTTAGGTTTTACATTTAGCTCTATCATATTTTTGAGTCAATTTTTGTATACGCTGCAAGAGATGGATCAAAGTTGGTGGTTTTTTTTTTTTTTTTTTTTGCATATAGACATCCAGTTGTTCCAGCATCAATTGATAAAACACTTTCCATTCTCCACTGGATTGCCTTTGCTTCTTTTTCAAAAAAAAATCAATTGACCATATATGTACAGGTTTATTTCTGGACTCTAGTTTGTTCCATTAACCTTTTTCTGTCTTTATACCCAATACTCTCTTGATGACTGTAGCTTTATGAGTCCTGAAGTCAGGTAATGTAAGCCCTCCAACTTTACTCTTTTTCAAAATTGCTTTGGGACTTCCCTGGTGGTGCAGTGGTTAAGAATCCTCCTGCCGGGCTTCCCTGGTGGCGCAGTGGTTGAGAGTCCGCCTGCCGATGCAGGGAACACGGGTTCGTGCCCCAGTCCGGGAAGATCCCACATGCCATGGAGCGGCTGGGCCCATGAGCCATGGCCGCTGAGCCTGCGCGTCTGGAGCGTGTGCTCCGCAACAGGAGAGGCCACAACAGTGAGAGGCCCGCGTACGGCAAAAAAAAAAAAAAAAAAAAAGAATCCTCCTGCCAATGCAGGGGACACAGGTTTGATCCCTGATCTGGGAAGATCCCACATGCTGCAGAGCAACTAAGCCTGTGTTCCACAACTACTGAAGCCTGTGGACCCTAGAGCCCGCATGCCACAATTACTGAGACCACGCACCACAACTACTGAAGCCTGTGCACCACAAGAAAAGCCACCACAATGAGAAGCCCATGCACCACAACAAAGAGTATCCCCTGCTCGCTGCAACTGGAGAAAGCCCATGCACAATGAAGACCCAACGCAGCCAAAAAATAAATTTAAAAAAAAAAACACTTAAAATAAAAACTGCTTTGACTATTCAACTTTTGCATTTCCATATGAATGGTGAATCAGATTATTGATTTCTATTAAAAAGGCTACAGGGATTTTGATTGAGATGTTGTTAAATTTACAAATGAATTCTGGGAGAACTGATGTTTTAACAATATTGGGATTTCCAATGCATAAACATATCTCTGTATTTCTTCAACATTTCTCTCAACTGTGTTTTGTAGTCTTTAGTGTACAGGTCTTTTAAGTATTTCATTTTTTGGTGCTATTTTAATAAGTATTTTAATTTCAATTTCTGATTTTTAATGCTAGTATATAGAAATGTAATTGATTTTTTTTTTTTTCAGTACGCAGGCCTCTCACTGTTGTGGCCTCTCCCGTTGTGGAGCACAGGCTCCGGATGCGCAGGCTCAGCGGCCATGGCTCACGGGCCTAGCCTCTCCACGGCATGTGGGATCTTCCCAGACTGGGGCACGAACCCATGTCCCCTGCATTGGCAGGCAGACTCTCAACCACTGCGCCACCAGGGAAGCCCTGTAATTGGTTTTTATATATTGATCTTATATTCTGCAACCTTGATAAACATTTATTTTTAAAGTAATTTTTTGTACAATCCATAGGACTTTCTATGTAATCATGTCACCCACAAATACAGTTTTACTGCTTTCTTTCCAGTCTGCCTTTTGTTTCTTTTCTTTTTTTTTTTTTTTTTTTTGCGGTACACGGACCTCTCACTGTTGTGGCCTCTCCCGTTGTGGAGCACAGGCTCCGGATGCGCAGGCTCAGCAGCCATGGCTCACGGGCCCAGCCGCTCCGCGGCATGTGGGATCTTCCCTGTCCGGGGCACGAACCCGTGTCCCCTGCAACGGCAGGCGGACTCTCAACCACTGCGTCACCAGGGAAGCCCACTTTTCATATTTTGATGCAAAACTGAGATACATTTTTACAGCCACACCTCTCTTTCACATCGTCTATATGTATGAACGTGTAATTTGCAAAACTGGCCATGGGATGGGGCCCAGATATTTGGTCAA